CTCATGCTGTAAAAATCAGGGAAACATTCAGGTCTAGTCTCCAAAAAATCAGATTTCTGATAAAAGTCCCGGTCCACGTCTGTACACTAGAGCCTTTAACAAATGACATTGGTCTGAAGGAGTCGGCCACCAGAGTTTGGCTTAGGTTCGCACAGGGGGGGAAACAAAAAGCTGTATTTTAATTTAATTTGATTCATTGTAGGCTGCAAGAAAACAGTGGAACTGAAACCAAACCCGCGGCTCTTTCCTGCAGACAGCAGCCTCACGTTCTAGTCACAGGACATGGTGAAGACAGCCCAAATGTAGCAGAAGAAAGAAAAAGCCAGGAGTCACCGCCTGTGTTTATTTTCTCTCGATCTGTAAAGTAAGCTGCCAGACAGAATCACTTACCTCATGGGCCCACAGCCGCACTGCAGCGAGATGTCTGCAAGGGGAAAGGGAAGGCTAGCAAGCGCCACGGTCTGCTTGAGCATACAAGGGGCATGCTGTTTTTTCTGAAGGTTGAAAGAGCCCGTTTAAGTTGTCCTCCAACTTTGCCTCCTAAAAATGAACTTTTGACCCCTTTTTTTACTTCATTGTTCCATGCGGCGGCAGAAGTACATAATGTAAGAAAGGCAGTTCTGCTTTGATACCTCTGTGAAGTCCAAAACCGGGAAGCATCCCATTAGCAGGCCCGTTCTCACAATTTTGAAGACAAAGGTTTTAATCCAAATAAAAGGGAACATTGGGGCATCTAATCGAAATCGCCGGTGGTTCAGCACTCACTTCTTTCTCCCCTTGACATCTCAGCGTAGGATTACAACGTACATGGAGCGGTGGAATTTCTCCGCGTTTCCCTTTATTAACCTCTAGCTGCCTCTGGTCAAGACGCTATGTCATAGTGTAATGAGTCCGTGCAATTCAGATTAAAAAAACATAATTGCTATAACTGGAAGCTAATTTCTTCAGTGCTGTCACCAGATTATTGCATGGTGAACCAAGATCATTTGCCCACCAAAAAGGTGGTGTGGGATCAGGGGAAGGGCAAGGAAAAAGGAAGGAAGCCACAGAGAATGTAGTAATTCTTTGAAAAAAGGACATATTAGTATTTATTTTATCCTTCTCATCATTTCCTGTATGTTCCCACCCTGCTCAAGAAAATCCAGAATCTAGCAAGGCCCAGCTCTCAACCAGCTCTTTTCCCTGGTGTGATTACTTCATCTCTTGTCCAGCTCTGAAGCTATTTTTCCTCCTTGGCACCAGGGCTGTGTGAAGCCGCCGTCACTGATTCGATTCGAAGGAGATTCGGCCCAACTTGGCGGCCGAATCTCCGAATCCGAATGGCATCAGGAGCCCCATTCATCTCTCTGAATTGAATCAGAAGCCTCCCATTTGATTCAGAGAAATTTGATGATTCAGCTGTGGACCCAGCTTGATAGTTTTTTCTACGTGCGAGGTATGTAGAAAACACATATCAAGCTGTGTCTATGGCCGAATCGCTGACTCTCTGAATCAGCACCGAATCTTCAGATTGAGATTTGGGACAGTGTTCCCAATCAGCAAATCGAATCGCTGTCCCCCAAATCGGGCCGAATCCGAATTGAATACTGCCCACTTTGCACACCCCTACTTGGCACTCCTTCACTGTCCAACCCTGCTCTAGGGCTACCTCTCCTCACTCAGAAATGAGGTGGGACTGTCTTATATAGGCCCAAGATCACTCCCATTGCCAGCAGCCTCTGAAAGAATCAGTTAACTGGGGCCGTCTGCTTTGATTCCTGCCCCTACCCTATCAGAGACATAACAGGCAGCAGTGGCAGCAGCTGCAGGGGGCAAGTCAGCAGCAGCGATGGCCACAGTTCTTGTGTCACCCCAGAATAGGCCGCTGCCCCAGTCGCCCATCCCTTGTTATACTGCTGCAATCCAGATAACAGTTCATTCTGCAATGAGTTCCTAAAAGCCCAGGCTTCTAAATCTTTTGGAGAGCTGCTATCATAGCGTTCAGGTTTGATGCACGAGCCAGTGCTATTTTTTTGCTTAACCAGCACTTTGAAGATATTGGTACATCTGAACAGGAGGGAGCTGGGACAATGTACAAGATGAAAACCCTGGCTCCATGTTAACTGAAGTCCTGGGCTGGTAAAACAGCGCCTTTGCAGACAATAACAATACCTTCCTGTGAATCTCACCTGTCAGAGGGTACAGTCGGGAAGTGGTCCTACCTGGCAAGTATAAGTCCAGCACATAGGACCGTCTTTCCCAGAAAAATGCAGAGGTTTAGGCTGGAACTTGAAGTGAGACTTAGGTACCTAACTTTCTTGGGCCTCCCTAGAAATCTGAACTGTAATGCTTTATTTCTCTAGGCATCCTGATAATAGCAGCCCAAATAGTTTCCTGTATAGATTGATACGGCCTGGCTCCTCTTACACCTAGGGGTCTCCTTGCCTATAGCTAGGGGACGTCCGGGATTCTCTGGATCATGCTGAGGACTACAAACCTGGAACTTCTTTGGCGTTCTAGGTTGCTGCCAGAAACAATATACGGCAGACTGATGTGGGATGCATTATGTTGCTTCAGGATTGCTAGAGAGA